ATATATATATATATATATAGATGTATAATTTTATAAGATTTAAGCTATTTAGACTGAACATTTGTTTTGTGTTATAATTTGTAGTCATTCTTGAATGAAAAAAAAAGCATAATTTATATCCAGTTCCTAATTTTTTAATGGTGGTTATGAGGTCAGTCAAATCGACCAAACCCGTAAAGAGATACAGTTGTGAAAATAAATAAAATATAAAGTTTTTTCAAAGAAAAAACACATGGGTAATTATCTGGAGTTTATAAAGATTTTGCATGTGAAATTTGAAAATTTTCTCATGCATAAAAGTATTTTTAATCTTAAAATCAAAATTACTTTGCATGTTGGATAGTCAATGTTCAAAATGTACAAGATAAACATTACTTAAAAAATCTTAAACCTTAATAAAAAAAAATCTGATATTTTGCATACAAAAGCCTTGTAATGTTTACTAATAAGCTGCAAAATGTCATGAAGATATGCTTACTGTATTGAAAGTTATAGCACGAAACCTATAACAAGCACAAAATGGTTACGTACGAAATTTAGGTTTTAGGGATTATGCAAATAAAATTTGAAATTGTTCCAATGAAAAACAGTATTTTTAATCTAAACATGAAAATTAATTTACATTTGGAGCAGTAAACATTCTGACTCCATATATTCAGGGATTTTTTGTCTACAAATGACTGTATGGTTACTAAAAGTTTGCTAAATATTGTGAAGATACACAAAACATATTAGAAAGTAAAGTATGGAGAATTTAAAAGTGATTTCTAGGTCAAGTCAATCAAGCCCATAGCATGAGAGTTCTTATACAACTCAGAAGCATTATACCTCAGAGACAATTCTTTAATTACCTTAAACATTTCCAAAGAAAGAGTTGATTGTTTGAGCATTCTAAACTTGTTAAATTAATATATTAAAACCACAAGTGAAAAATGAAGAAATACTTTTGCTTTATTGTAACTTGCATTTATCAATTTTTCAATATATTTTAAAAAACTTTTGAGACCCTCAAATAATTGTTTGCGTCCCCTACAATTGGCTATTATAATAAAATAGTGAAATAGAACATTTTTACAAATACAAGAATTTAGCAATAATGTTGTGAAAAAACAAAAATTAACAGCTTCAATAATTGTAAAATATTTAAGTAATAATAATCATATAATAAAATTTTGAATCAGAAGATGGAAGTTTACAAAATTTTACCTTTCGGTTAGGCCCTCTTCCAACAGGAGGTTCTCCAGTGGCTGCCTGCTTTACACAACACACCATAATCTCTATAAGTGAGGTCTCTTGACGATCATCTAGTGGCTCTTCTTGAGGACCTGGGTCTTCCAACAGCAAGTCTGTCATGCACTCCCAATCTTTCATCATAGGATTACTTTCTATCAAACTATCCACAAGGTAAGCTCCATGTTCGTGAAGCTATGATACAAAACAATATTTAAAAATAAATGTCTATGAGTACATGTAAGTACATGCTACAGACATTTAATGAAAAGGTCATGTCAGAGAGAGAGAGAGAACAAGTGATTAAATAACTATAATTCAACAATAATGAATTCAAAAATATGGATACAGAATAAAGATTACATATTAAATGTAATAACTTAAGAACATACAGAAGATATTTGAGAAACATATAACAAAAGTATAAAACTACACAAAGAAATAATGACTTGAACTAAAAAATATAATTGACCATTCATGATCTATAGTAATGATTTGCACATCCAGTTGCCTTGCCCATAGTCATTCTCATGGCCTAGAACTTTATAGTTAAAAGTTCTGATCCTCTTGCTTGCAATTCAGCTGAAGGTATGAAATTGAAAGTCCAGATGACACTTAAAATACCATCACATTCCAGAATTAGTGAGGAAAGATAAATAGCTTGTAAGTGTAATTAATCTGAGAACACAGCAGGTCATGTAGTTTAATAAGAAACCTTCCTTGAAGCTATAAACAAGACAACTCACATGGATTTAGGTTTACAAAAATGACATGAATTGAGTACGTTGGTTGGTTTGCATTTTTTGGCGAGAAACAACTAGGCTATCTGCACCAAACAACCAGTAAAAAGTAAAATTGTTATAAAATGTAAAAATAAATTGAGTTAAAATAAAACAATGTCCAAAATTGAGATAAAAGATTAAAATAGAAATAAAAAGACCTAAATCCTGCAAAAACTAAAAACATGGTTAGTTCTCACTGATATTCAACAACGACTGGCCATTTTTCTGTATCTTCTGTTTCCATCCAGTTTTTCCGGATACCTGTCCATTTCAGTAATTGCTGGAATGAGCTCACTGACACCGCAGCTAAGTCTGTCTGCTCTAGTGCTGTCAGAGCTGAGTCTGTCCCCTATATGGGCTATGGTCCTGTATTGAAGGCTTGGCTTCGCACCAGTTGGCAGTCGACTTGGGGTGAGCAACATCATAACAAGCTCTTCCAGATCAAACCTTCTGTTGCTCTTTGGCTGTCTTGTTTCCATAAGGATTGGAAGGAGGAAGTTGTCCTGGTTAGGCTATGCATTGATCACAGTTTTTAACTCATCATTTTCTTTTATCTGGTACTGTCCCACCAATGTGTAGCCTTTGTGACACTCAAGTCACAATAGCCCATATTTTACTGTCATGCCGTCATTACAAATGTGAGTGGCAGTACCATTTTCGAAATATGGATTCTATGGGTTTACTCCATATGATGGACGGTGTCATTGGTGATGGTGACACCGTCCAACTTGACCGTGTTTTTAGCTTTTTGACGTTTGTGCAGGTTTGATATGAAACTGGTAGTAGAAGAGATACTAGTTGTAAACTTAATCCAAGATTCTATTTGTCTTTGACGCCTGACTTGTCAAGCATGGGCACGGGCCTACTGGAAAGCAATGAGGTTAGAAAGAGAGGGATACCTGCTAAAAGTATCCTAGGCCTTTTTCTGAGCCTTCCGTGCTTGCTGGCAGGCTGGAGACCACCATGGACGAGGATACTGTGGAAAATTTGTCGAGGTTTTGGTATAGAATGAAGCAATTAGTTACTCCTCCATGCAGTCATTAATAGATGGAAGACTGACGACAGCAGGATCAGTCCCAAGAGAGAGGTGAAAAGAGAGCCAGTCGGTCTGCCAACTTACACTGTGGCACTCGGGTCGGGTGGTATTGACCACGGCCAATCTCCTTCAAAACAATAGGAAAATTATCACTGCTCCATGGGTCACTGTCAACCCTCTAAGAAAAGCAAGAGAAAAGTGAAGGAGAGCAGATAGATAGATCAATGGCAGTAAAGGACTGACTAGGTGCATGAAAATAAGTATAAGAACCAGTATGGAAGAGAAAAAGGTTGTGATCCAAAAGCATACACTATACAAAACGACCCCTCCCATTAATATCAGCACTACTCCAGAGGGGATTGTGTCCATTAAAGTCTCCCAGGATTAAAAAGGGAGACAGAAACTTTCAATGAGAGCATCAAGGTCTGATTGATCATAAGTCTCTCCAGGAGACAGGTAAAGAGAACAAAGAGTGATGGTATGACCCAAGAAAATACAGATGGCTACAGCAATGTGGGCACATGCTGGTCAACCTGCAGTGCCACCCCTCCATGTCCATTACACAACCTGACATTCCGGTATAAAGATAACTGCCGAAAGGTGACTGTGGGAAGGTTTCTTGTAAGGAAAGACACATGAGATGATAGGAATCGATCAAGGCTTTAATGTCATCCAGATTAGAATGAAAACCTCGATAGTTCTATTCTTACTTAGGTGGAGAAGAATTGGGCAGAGAACCTTTCTGTTTACGACCACACCATTTTTGTTTACTTGAAGGATGTCTGTTGACAATCTGTCATTCCAGTATAAAAATAACTGCCGAAAGGTGAATGTGGGAAGGTTTCTTGTAAGGAAAGACACATGGAATGATAGGATTCAATCAAGGCTTTAATGTCATCTAGATTAGAATGAAAACCTTGATAGTTCCATTCTTACCTAGGTGGAGAAGAACTGGGGAGGGAACCCTTCTATTTATGACCATGTCATTTTTTTTACTAGAAGGAGGTCTGTTGACCTCTATGGATTCTGCCTTTCGTCAGATGGGCAGATCTTTGTCATTAGACTTAGATTCCAAGGACTGAGAGCATGAACGAATAATCGTTCTGCATCTCGGGGCCAAAGAAGATGGATCAAAGCAGACACCAGAAGCCAGGGCCAAAGGATGTGGACCCAGGATGTCACTAGAAGGAATGGTGGGGACAGAGATAGGACTAGACATTGACTTGACAACTTGGTCATCCACTAAGGGCAAAATACTCTTCACATGATGTGAAAAAGACTCTGATGGAGGCACAGAAAGGTCTGTCTGCATACCCACTGTAGCAATGGAGCATAGTGCAGCAGCATATGTCCGAGATGGAATAGGGGACAATAACTTCTGAGCCTCAGGGTATGAAACATTCTTAACAGTTTTTAAATCTGTACCTCTTTCTCCTCCACCCACTTAGACACAGTAAGGGTCAAGTTTGAACTTGTAGGCATCGTGGTATTTGTCTCCACATATGAGCACACACCACAGAACCACAACATGACACCTCTGAATGACTGAACTGCTGACACTGGAAACATCTGAGATGGTTGGCAACATATGGCCGTAACTTACAGTTCAGATAACTGCCCTTGACAGTGGCAGGCGGATGTGGCGATTTAAACACCAAAATAAAAATGTCTGTAGGCAGCATAATTTCTTCTGTACAAGTGGAGATACGTCACACTGCAGAAACGCCTTGGCTGGAGATACCAGCGAGGATCTCTGACTTGGGAATGTTCTTCAAACCCCTCTCCACAATAACTCCTCTTGAGGAATTGAAAATAGTATGGGTATTTCCCCAATGGTCTTTGAATTCAAGAGGAGTTCACTGTGTTTTGGTGTAGATGTTTCCAACAAGATGTCCCAAGAATGTAGCTTCTTGACTGACTTTGGAGAGCCAGCAAGCCCCTCTAGTCCCTTCTGAATAAAAAATGGAGACATTTGTCCTAAAGGTTTTTCTAACAAGAAATGTAAAATCAAAAAACAAGGTACAGTAGCAAGATGAGTTGAAGACTGATGATCAAAGCCTTCAAAGCATGGTCATTTGCCAATTAGCTGTTTTTTAACCATTTTATATTTCTGAGGATTTGGGGGATCCATAATGAAAGGAGAAAGATTCAGTGCCCACTGACCCCACCCAACAAGAGGTCCTACGAGGGGACACACTGCAATGCCAAGGACACTGCAGTAATGCTAGGGTGTTGTGAGCACTCTACCCAAACACCAGCATCAGACACAATGTCCATAACACTCGTTGAGAATGCCCAACACTGTTACTCAGCTGACCCAAGCACAACTGGACCAGCCGACTGATTCTGGGGGAGGGGGCACCCCAAGACCACCTATATACAGGAATTCATGGTTAAAGTGGGTGTGTTGCAGTGCTCCAGACACCACTCAACCACCAGGATCCTCTCCTTCACGTGTCGCCATGCATGGCAAACACGAGAGTAGATGTTCAGATCCCAGAGGAGCTAAAGTGAAAATACACAACCTTCCTTAGTAGGTCCTCTCACCACATACAGGAATTCACCTGGATGGGAGATGAGTACACAAGCTTTCCCCAAAGCATAATCAAACAGAAGACCAACTAACAGAAGTTGTGACAACAGTATAAGCCAACTGAAAAATGAAAGTATATCATCACTTTGGAGGAAACATATACCTATTGAATCTCTGCAAAAGTCCAAGCAGTTTATTATCATCTTGCCAGTGACACAATATTTACAAATTGGTACAACGTGCATCATAAAAAGTTTTCCAAGGGAATTAAAGTGGTTGCAAGTTAGTTAAAATGGCAAGTTCAACATCTGAAAATTCAAGAGCAATGCCAAGGTGAACTCTAATTACTATCACAATAATGCTACTGTGCTGTAAGAAGATACCACACACCTGGCCACACATCCTTGTCAAAATAACAATTCTTCCATAAAATGTAAGTATTAGGTCGTCAAGAAATTAATGTCACATTTTGGCACATTTTCATTAACCATCCCCTAAAAAAAAGTATGTCACATATAACAGTTAAACGAACCATGTAAATGTCATGTTAGTGTAGCCTATATAATGTGTAAAGTTTAGTATACTCTAATCCCTTATAGTGATGGTACACGATGACACACACATTTGGCATGTAATATTGTTTGAATACAAGAAGGGAAACAATGCCTCTGTAGCCACAAAAAATATCAAAGAAGTTTATGGAAATGTTTTGAACATTCGTAAGTGTCAACGATGGTTCAACAAATTTTGTTCAGGTGACTTTAGTCTTAAAAACTGTGATGGCAGAGGCCGACACGTTGGAATTGATATTTATACTCTGAAGACGCTCACATGAAACAATATGTAAACATTTAAGGAATATGGGAAAACTACT